ATTTCTCCTCCGTAAGCTCAAATATTTATAATGCTGTCCAACACTTGGTTGACCACAAAGAGCAACACAACCCGTACAGTAGGACCCGTACCCGCACCCGCACCCGTATCCGGACTCGGACCATTGACCGCAGCCCGAAAAACACAAACACAAGTGGACAATCCGGAGGGGCTGGCACCAGGAGGGATAAAAACAATAAATTGATTTTTGTATCTCATCGTCGAACAAGTGCGGCGGGAACTCCGAACAGAGGGAATAAATATTCACAGTCCTTGCCTGCACACACGCCCCGATAATTATGAAATTTGAGGCAAAGAAAATCTAAAAACCCCGAACTCCGATCCCGAAAATAAAAGAAACCAACCAATTTCTACAGAAAGCAAAAAGCAATTTATGATGAGGAACACGCCCCGAAAACTTTCAAGGAGCGACGACGTTTAACTGCAAAACGCCCAACACGGCGGGCGTGGCCGGCCAGCAGACATTTCAAAAGGATACCAAGGCGTACCAGGACCGACTCGAAGGACAATGCCAGAAAACAGGCAACAACATATGCGAAAGGGATAATAATTCACCGACCAAAAAGGCGATGGGAACAATGGTCCTCGTCGCATAACTCAAACGCGCCAGATGAACTACGAATCCAAGGAGAGGAGCTGACCGACCGCATTATGGACTTTGGCCTGGGATTGCGATTGGGATCGGCTCTAATTCAAAGGACACGCGCACAGCGGGAGACGTACGATGTCCTTTGGCCATGTTTGATGTGCGGCGGTGCCTTGAAATTGACATTTAATGAGAAGAATACTCGCTCCCACATCCAGTGCCGATGGGATTTTTACTTAGACACTTGGAGAAAAAAAACGCGGTAATATTTATGCGCAAATCGTATATTTTTTCTATTATTAAAAGAAATTACTTAACAACTAGATTTCATAATTACCTATATTCAGTACTTATATTCTAGGCCAGCTTTAATATTGTCCTTCGATCCCTCTAATTTATAATAATTTTTTTCAAGTGTCTCCCATAATTTGAGGTTGGCTAGGAGAGCTCGTTTGTGCAACACCTTTTGTTATCGCCGAAAACACTTGTCCTGCTCGACTGGCCCGGAGTTGCCCGCCCCGTTCTGTCCAGTCGATTGGCAAATATTACATTGTGTTACCTGCATCGTCACTTGTTTGTTGTCTGGCTATCGTCTGGTCGATAGGGATTTTCGATTAGCTCTCACACATATCAAAATCGGACGTTAATTGTTTTCTGGTTCGTGGCATGTCAACGGCTTCGAGATCACGTCCCCGAGATTCATTGGACGTTTTCAGCTGGATTTATCTGTCTAGCCGGGTAAATTTTATGGATTTGTTTTGTCTGCCTGGCACTGAGATTGCAACAATTACTTATGAATCATGGAGGAGCCACTTAACGACTCTTTGAAGTGCAGGATTTTAATGCAATATTTTCTAGTAGAGCAACTCATCTATTACTTTCCTCTGGAAGACAAACTTTATTTGGTTGCCATTAAAATCAGAGTTTTCACACTTCACCCACCTTTGAGTGGGGAGTGTCGAGCTTGACTTTTGCGCTTTTGTTTGCCATTCGATGAATTAAAATCCCCGGCACACTCGCAAACATATCAGAGCAAAACAAACAAGTGCTGAGCCGAGACAAGGGTCCTCCACAGTGACCGCATTGCGGCCAAGTGCCGGTCACATTCTGACCAAAGAGCACCAGCTGCCACCCGGCGGAAGGCAATGCCTTATCCACCCACCACAACCACCCTCTGCCCCAGAAGAAGAATCATCAGGCCACCACAAATTCCACCCGCGAAACAAGCAACTGAATTCTAATAATTTTTAAACAAAACAAACTTCCTGGCCACATGCCTCATGCCACATGCTGCATGCCTCATGCCCATGCACTTGGAGCATTCGGTCGCATTATAGAAATTACAATGAGCCCAAGTTTAGAGAATTCGTTTCGAAATTTCACGCCACCGTCTGTGACGAAATTTTTTAACGGCAAAGGACAAGTGCAGCCGGGCAGGATGATTCACCCCCTTTTTACATTGTCCTGATATCGTCCTGAGGGCAACCCTCGCTTCAAATTGTGGCAAGTGGAAAAAGGTTGCAATTCGAAACCCAAAAAAGCATCACAACCCCGCAGACACAGTTGCCACTTTTAATCAGCATGAAACTTCCCAATACCCCTGGCATCCACCCGCATCCTTGTATTCCGCCTGTTCAGCTATTTAAGGACTCCGGAGATTCCCCCGAATTAAAACTGAGCCGAAAATGAAAATGAAAATTTCTATACTGCGTTGGTAGTTTGGTTTTTTGTTAAAAGGCAGCATAAATAAATGCATGAATTCCAAAGCAATTTTGATGTTGACATTGAGTAATGTTGGCTCCGTTCAGCCTGGCTGAGTAACTCCAGGACGAGCTTCCAGCCTCCCGGATTCAGTTACGGATCTCGGCCCAGTCCGGTGGGTGGTTGTTTGGGCTGGCATTTTCATATCATTTTCGAATATTACATGCGGATTAGCATTTCCTCATCGGGATTGCAACAAAACGTGTGCCCATCGATGGTGGGGCAATGGTGGATTGTTCTCCACAAGGGGGTGGTTCGATGCAATATGGGAGGTTGGCGGCTGGGCTGGGTGGTGGGTGGCTCGCCCTTTGTCTGGGGAGTGTGCTGTCGATTACCCCCGAAAGGTGTTTTTTAGTGTTCTTAAAGGTTTTTGTTGGAATAAATTAAAGCTTCCGAGGGGGAGTGTGGTAAGAGCTATTAAATGGAGGAAAATTAATGTACATCTTGGAAAGAGGTCTGAACTTAAGTATTATTTTGGAAAGCTTTACTAACTATTTAATATTTAATCCAAAAAATCATTACCCATATTTTGTTTGTGGCACTATTTAAATGTTTATCCCAAAGTTAGTTGGTTTAAGCCCTCTCATCGTGAAAAAGAGTTGTCAAAAGTTTTCAGTTCTTCGGCAAACTTGTTCAAATCCTCGCTCATTTCATTCATAGTCTTAAAAACTCAAATAGCTTTCCTCATTTTCAGACTTGGATAAACTTGCCATAATCTAAGCATATACATACCTTCAACAACTTTTGGCTTTTACAGCCCGAGTTCTGGACAAGTTTAAGGAATTTCTCAAATCAACAGCCTTTCACAAACCAAATGAACACGAAGGGGAGGTGTTCAAGGAGGGGCCTCTGGAAGGGCTGAGGGATGGGAAACCCTACGTCGAACTAACTTTTCAATTTTCTTTTCACGCTCGCATTTTACAAGCTGCTACATGATTAGGGTCGATGGTGTGGCAGGCAGCCCCTAATCCCTCCCCAAAACGCCGCCTCTGACATCTGTAACAAGCTGCCAAATTTCACACTCAGTTCCAGTTTCAGAAATAGCCCGGAACACCTAACGAAGTCAAAGTTTTCGTGAGGGTTTATGGGCCATCAGTGTTTGTATCCGTATCTGTATCTCTCAATCTTTTCATCACTGCGATTGTAATCATAATCAAATTCACTGAAAATTTTATTATTAACTGACAGTTTATTAAAAACTCATTCGGTTACCCTGTCCCTGCTCTGATTTGTTTGCGGGAATGTTATTTGCTCTGCCAGTCCCCCTCAGACCTTGTTATCGAGATCCTGGGCACATGTCCGCCCGGACTTAGACAGGACGGGATGTCTGATTACCGACGCTAGATAAATATTAAGCAACTACACAAAGAGGAGAGCTCTTCCTCACGGATCCGGGATCCGTCCGGGTGACGACATCATCGTGGGGCTCTTAAACAGTTTCCTCTACGTAATTGACTCTCCCCGCCAAAGGGCAAAGCTGCTTCTCCCCCAAAACAATATCAAAATGGTAATGAAATTTTGGTGCTTCGAGTGCTACACATACATACATACATCCATATATATAAAATGGGGGAATCCCATCCTTCGGCAGTTGTTATTGTTGTTTTTTTGGCACGTGGCACGTGCAACATGGCCAGGAAATGCCTTGGAATTGAATTTTATTTTTATTTTAGTTAAGAGTTTTTTGTTTTCTGGCTCTGAGCCTGCGGGCTTCATGTAATTATTTTGGATCTCTGTTCCAGCATGTGATTAGATTTTTCAACAAAAGTTTATTCAGCTTTCATTTCGGTTGATGATAATTAAAAATGATTGGCTCATAAATACTTCCTCCTGTTGAGGGAGATTTATGTGTAAATAAAAAAAAGAAACAGCAGAAGCCCTGAAGCTAAAGAAAATATTCCACTTGAATGAGATCTAAGGGGTTGCATTTCTAGCAAGGGAACAAATTATGCAAATTAATCAAAAGTATAGTTTTAATCGTGTTTAGGAATATGAAACGAAATATTTTCACAACTGTATTACATCGGCGATATTTTCACAGTTTACATCCAAGTTATTCATCTGGCTCACTATAAAATAAATAATTATAAAAATGTATTGTATAAATAATATTTTTATCTTACACAAACAAATGGCTGCTTCCAATTCACAGCGAGTTAGTTTACTCCACTTGGAGCCAATTTCCTGACTACAATTTGAATTATACCCATTGGTAATTCCATTATATCTTCCAAGCTTAAGTTCTGATTCTTGGCATTTTAGTAGAAAATCATTGCACTTAAACACATCGGGAAAATAGTTTGCGGCAGTTACAATAAATATACTAAGAACTTTTTAAGAGTTTAAATTTTAGTTACATTTAATTTTTGTTCTTTATTTTAACTTACCTACAATGCCACAATATTTATTAAACATTTCGAAACTTACTAAGTATGAAGAGTTTCTAGACATTACTATATAAGCAGGTTTTACCATATGGCTTCAATAATAGGAAGGTGCAGGTGTTTATTATCAATAAAATTGTTTCTTTTCTTAATTTGTTTTATCTGTATTTTTCACAATTTTTTGAGATTCTTTTTTGAGAATTACTTCAGCTGGGTTTGAATATTTTTTTTACGGAATATTTTATTTACATTTCCGGAAGAGCTATACCAAAATGTTTTCGCGGGAGTCGTACAATGTTTAGATTTATTTATTCAAAAGCCCAGGACTTCCGCAATATTATTGCAAGACATGTCATCACAACGCTGCAGGATTACTGAAAAAAAAATTCATTAATTAATCTACTCTTTAAAAATCGATTTATAAAAATATTTTACGAATGCAAGTGGCCTTCTCCATTTCACATCGAGAGACATTATTCCATCGTCCCCGACGTTCACGGCGACAATGTCGATTATACGAATCTATGGTTTCATCAAATCTTCCTATAGCAGTTGTATGACTCTGACAATCGCGATATATATCCTCACAGTATTCGCGATTCCTTTGAGCAGAAACATGTGATACAATAATCACACAAAGGACTAAAAATGCATTGCAAATGCAGGACGAAAATGCATTGCAAGTATAAAATATGTAGAAAAATGTACTCAAGACTTACCCAACAGAAGTGAGAGTTTCAGCATTTTTGTTTAGGCAAATTAAAAACATACACTGACTTGTTCTTATCTCTGAAGCCGTATTTATATAAACAATACCTATTGAAATTATCTGAAAATATTATATGCCAGATCTTTCAAGTGGGTCAGCTCCTTGTTCTCATTTCATTCAGCCAGGATCTATAAAATGACTTTCAAGCATTATTATCATTTGCTCTGATTTAATATGAATTCATTTCTTTGTTTTAAGCAGATCGCAAGTGTTTTTTCCCAATGGCAAATGAATATATAAAACCAGATGCCAAGCTTCATAAAATTTAATTTTCCAAAATGCAAGCACGTCTAGTTTTCTCCTTGATTTTCGTCCTTTGCTGCTTTTCAATAAAAGCTCAAAGACCGGACTGCCGCAGACTTCGGGAGAATTGTAGACCATGTACCAACCGGTTGGTGGATCCTGTCAACAATGTCGACTTTATAAACAGGGATTGCCGTGAAAAGGTCGGCGATCGTTGGATTTGGCGCGATGTAAGGCGCTGTGATATGCAGATCGTGGCTTGTGAGAGTAAGTTTCTATTTTAAAGTTAAGATTTATTCACTTTTAATGTGAGCTTAATTTCAGATCATAATGTTAGATTGGACTGTGAAAATGTGGCTAGATTGGCTGGAATGCGGAGACGCCGTGGCGGTGAATAAATATAAAATATTATTATCTAATTATTAGATTCTAATATCAATTGAAGAGTCGAAAAGTAAAAATAAATCTATGTAATTGAAAAATATATTTGAGTTACACCCTTTTTTACTTTTACCAAATTACACCCAAACCAATAAATATTTAAAAAATTGTTGGAACTTGATTTAATTAAATAATACCTTTCGATTTTGATACCTATAAATTGACAAAGATTTTTAATTCTGCAAGTACATATAGTTTTCTTTCTTTCATGCGGTTCGTCACGTAAATAAGTGAAATCTCTGATTTCATTATAAGAGAAATTATTCTTATGTATTACTTATGTATGCATATTATGTATATTGTATTACTCACTAGTCTTATCTTCTCTTTGCCTTATCAAGAGAATTCTGGTCAATTCGGTCAGTATGCTCAGTTTTTTCTTACAGATCGGTTGATTGACTCAAAAAATGTCAAAAAAAAATAATTTGAATCTTCCCCAGCATTGTATATTAAAAATAATAAAGTATATTGTACTTAATTGTGAAATAAATGGTGAAAATATCCGCGAGGTCAGCGTAAAGTACATCGACTTGGTGAACTTTGTTGTTGTTGACAGATTTTTTGAAGAGACCTTCAAGAATTATCACAAAAAATTGTACAAGGAACTTGAATTTATTATCGTAGCTAATGGGTGGGAACTGTCGATAAAGTTCTATGAATTGTACGAACGCATCAAACATTTTTCTGAAAGGGAGCAAGACGTTTTCTGGCGAACTTATTCAAATTCCATCAAACAAAACCATCGTGTTAGTAGTGTAGGATTAGTTTACGATCCGAAAACATATTGGTCTGGATATTTGGATGCCTACGAGTTGTGTAAGGAGGCACTTCGCAATAAAAAAAGTGTAGATGAATTATTAATCCAAATCAAAGGTATGTTTTCTAACAATAATAGAATGTCAAGCTATATTAATAAGTATCCTTTTAAATATTTTTCAGGCTACTGCATAGACGATTTGGCATTTCTTGAGAACATTATAAAACTCCACTTGGAGGCAAGAACAACTGCCGAAGTACTGGTCAACTTTTGTAAGGCCAATCCAAACTTATTAGAATTAAAGCTGGACACATCGGATATATATGGTCGACTGAGCGATATAACAAACTTTTGTCCCAATCTGTTGAACCTAAGTTTTCATATGAAGGCCGGAGTCGATGAGGCTGAGTACAAGCCGCTAAAAAAGATGCCAAAATTGCGATATATCAACTTAGTTAGTTGCGAAGATACATCCCCACTAAAAATATTAGCGGAAATGAATTATTCGAAAAGGTCTGAAATCAAACTCATGGATCTTACCATACGTGATTCATCAGAAGATCTGGTTAGGGCTTTTAAAGTAGCATTGTGCGACTCTTTACAGTATTTTAAATATGAATCGGAATTTAAAGGAGAACAATTTAGAACTATAACAGAAGCCAAATATGATATTTGTGAAACATTTCAGGAAAAGAGTGCTTTGGAAGCAAGTATTTGTTTAGACGGAATAAATTTCATTGAATTTAGGAGGCAAGATAGAATACTTACACTGAGACTAAACGTTCTAGATATTAGAAAACTAGGTTTTATTTCTCAATTGCCAGATTTCGAACGATTAGAGATCGAAGGTAATAATTATAATTTCTGTTAAAATCTCTTAACTTCTTAACTTCTAATCTTAACTTTCCTTTTTTAAGCTGAATACCAGGACACCATACCATTTGAAAATATCAAGGAGCTTCAATTGCGGTCAACAACAATAAATGTAAAGGCTCTCGTGGAATTTTGCGTCTCAAACCCGGACTTAAATGAACTAAATTTTATAAATAAGAAGTGGATTGGAAACCTATCCGATATCGCACCCCACTGTCCCAATCTTCAAATACTGAAGTTTGAACTGCTTTCAGGAGCCAGCATCGCAGACTTTACACCTCTAGTGTTGCAAGCGAAGCTACGACATTTATTTATAAAGGTATCTATCGAGGAAAAAAATACATTGACCTCAATCTATAATGAAATGAAGGTCTGGAACTCGCCAAGAAATCAACCGTTTTTGGTACATCTCCACGCTACTTTTTTAGCCTCTAACAAATGTACGCTTGGAAGACTCGATATTCTTAAAAATTTTCGTTGTTCTTGTAATGGTAAATACCAAATTCTTGAAGCTGAGTACGATTATGGAAATGAGGGGAGAAATCCCAGCCTTTCAGAAGACTTAGAAGTAAGTATATCCATGGGAGGCAAGGATGAAATCGTATTCGACGAATCGAGAAGATCATTATATCTGGCGCTACATTCTGAATTCCTTGAATATTCCGATATATGTAAAATGTTTCCAAAGATAAATTTCATAGCTACGAACTGCAATCCAGATTTTTTAAGCGAATGCATATTAAATTTTACAAACCTTTCATACCTTATAATTGAATCGGAGGAAGAGAAAGAGGAAGATAGCTTTGTTAATCTCTTCCGAAACTTAAGCACAACAAAGTTAATTAACCTAAACGCTTTATTAATCAGAGATTATAAGGATCTAGACCAATTCGAAGTTGCCGAATTGGCCAAAATAAAATCATTAAGATTATTGGCGTGCTCTCTTTTAGAACAAGACTATGTAGAACATCTAAGTAAGCTTACTAACCTACAATTTATAAATATTGATATAAACTCACGCTTAATATCTTTTGAGAAAGGCTTGTGGGATTGGCTAGATGCTTGTGAAAATATAATTATTATCAAGTACAATAATGTTGAAATAAGTATATACAAATATAAAAGGATGTTGAAAATAGAATCATTTTATAATTTTAATGCAAGTGATCTGATAAGACTATCAGCATTAAGAGATATCGAAATTGTAGAAATTTCTGGCGAATTTTTAAGTGGATCCCTGAACAAACTTTTTGAAGCATTTTCCTTAAATAGTGCCTGTACAGTTATTGAATTGGATATATCAGAATTGGAAATTGAGGAAGATATTTCTAATATAACGCAAATTCAAAGCATCAAAAAACTCAAATGTTCCTTATTAAAAATCGATGGCATTGAGAAACTAGCACAGTTGCCAAACATCGAAGACTTGACAATAGAAACTGAAGATCCTGCTAGTCTGGTTTCTTTTTTTGAAGATTTGGCGGCCAAGAAAAATCCAGCTATTCGATATTTGGAAATTAATGAAAAAAATCTCCGCCCTGAAGAAGTTGTCAAAATTTGCCAATTACCATTTTTATCGCGACTAAAGTGTAGTTTTCATAATTCGGTAGATGGCCAATATTTTGCAAACTTAGCCAACTCAAATATCGAAGAACTTAGTGTTGAGGACGAAATATATCCAAATAATTTTTATAAAAACTTATTTGCGTCTTTTTCTCAAAACACTACACTTAAACACCTTACAACTTGTACTATCCCACTTGAAATTGAGGAAATATCAGAGATTTCTAAAATGAAAGGTTTAAAAATATTTGAAACCGGTGTGTTGGAATTTAAGGATGTGGAATTTTTATGGAGAAACTCTTCAATAGAGCACCTTGTAATAAACGAACTGGATATAACAAGCAGTTATTTAAAGAGTCCTGGGGACACAGGATTCAATTCACCTGTTTCTTTAAAAAAAATGGTGTTGCAATCTCCCATCTCGTTTAGGGAATGTCAGCACCTCATTATGCTTGAATCGTTGGAGTCCCTTGAATGTCAATTTGAAGACACTAGGAACATTAATATTCTGGCAGATCTAAAAAATCTCAAAGTCTTAATTATAAAAGAACCAGAAGATGAAAATGAAGATGAAGAACATATAAGACTTCGAGAATCTTATTGGGAGCTTTATCGAGACTTGGCCCTCAAAAAAAGTTCAACGTTAAAAGAGTTACATGCACCGATCAACTCCACACAGGAATTATATGAGATCAAAAAAATTAAATCGTTAAATACGCTAAACATTTCCTATTCATCAAATATAGAGTGTCTAGTTGAGCTAACAGATCTGGAAACATTATATATTTCTGATGTTGAGAAAACTGAAAACATAATACCGATTTTTAGATCGTGTAAGAAACTAAGTTTTGTTCAGCTGAAGTTTAAACTTTCTTGGAGACCACAACCAAATTTTCTAGGAGAAGTGATCAATATATTGAAAATAGTAAGGAATCCGGAAATTCAAAAACCTTTACAACTTACAATCCTTTACGATATGGGAGAGAATATTGAGGTAAGTTAAACTTTTGTATTTGTATATTTTATAATAACTAATCTTGCAGATGGAAGGAATTGATGGCAGTTATTTGGAAGCTAAATTGGAGTTCTTGCCTTTTGATATTTGGAATTTAAAAAATTGGCCCTCTAAATAAACTTATTGTTTTCACTAACGTTTATATCTTAGGATTTATTATTATACATGTTTAAGCATAAAATGAATATTAATTACTCTTTAAAAACAATATTTTAATTTTCAATGTCTAAAACAATATAAAGTTTTTATTTTACTTTATAACTTATCATATTATTATTCATAATTGAATAAAGTGATTATTCTTTAATTCAAAAGTGGAGTTCAGAAATTTAGGCATTGCAATAAATTTAAAAAAAAATTAAAAAGCATATTTAAAAAAATTTTTAAAGGGATGAATTTTTAAATACAATAAAAATAGTTTATAAGTTACAATTTCTTCCAGAACTACGTTATCACTTGGGTATTCAAAAAAAAAAAAAAAGAAAACAAAAAATACATTAAACATTAACAATTATTTTACAATGCATATTTGCTTCATTTTTATTAAACTTCATAGATAGTTTTAAAGAATTTTAAATTCATCCACCGCCTTGCCTAGGAAAGAAGGCTGTCAGCCACATTTTTGCAGGTGGGATTGTCGCATCGAAACATGGTCACTGGAACAGATAGCCTCGTAAATAAATTATTAAATCATTTTTAGTAAAAAACTCACATAAACAGGATGCACGGACCAGTTCACATCGGGTTATGTTCCTCCAGTTGCGATTGGATCGACGGCAGTGGTTATTGTAAATGGTGACTGTGTCGTCGACGGTGCCCACTTGGCGTTCGTGACGAACACACTCTGCGGTCAAGCGATCGCAGAACCTTCGACCTTCCGGATCCTGGGCTTTGATTTGGACCACCAGCAGACAGCAAAGAGCTACGGTTTGGAGTTTGTAAATTATAATCAAAATGTCCAATTCCAAGCAGAATTAAGCTCACCAAAAGCCAACAGAAGTTTAGACATCGCAGATAATTTTCAGATGGAACTTGAGATCTACTCTGGCTAGATGGAATGGAAATCCTTGCTATTTATACCCTTATATTTTGATCTATTTTATTTAGTAATTGTCCAATCAACAGATGTTTAATGCTTTATTGTGTCTTTCGGATCATCATTGTCAATCACGTCGATTGGGGTCAGATCTGTTTTTTTTTATCCGTAAAGTCAAACATTGTATGATTTCTTAAAGGAACAGCTGTGATCTTTGTGGGAATAGTTTGGGGTTTCAGCTTCATGGACGGCCCCCTTATAAAAAGAGCGTTTCGATCTCCAAACATCAGTAGAAAATCGCAAGCTAAACTATAAAATGCAGTTGGCAAGTATTCTTTCCGTTGTCCTGATCCTCTGCTGCGTCATCACGAGTGGTCAGCAACCGGACTGCCGGAAATTGAGGGAGACCTGCGAAAAGTGCGTCCGACGACTTAATAATCCCATCAATAATGTAGACTTTATGAACGATGGTTGCCGGGAGAAATTGCGACGCACCTACGAATGGAAGAACCAAACTCGCTGCGATCTTCAAGTTATAGCTTGTGGGGGTAAGTTTGATGAACTAGATTATTATTAATAAAAAAATATTTTATATTAATGACCTATTTTCTAGCTCATGATAAGAAACTGGATTGTGATGTCATTGCACAAATAGTTGGAATGCGACGACGTTAGAATAAATCGGAGCTTATGATTACTTAACCCCACCCCATCGAAAAAATGTTAAAGTAGTTTTTTGCCAAAATAAACAATGCATATTTGTGAAGAGATTTGAGTTGGTTAGCCAAACTGGTCTGGGCCAAGACGAATTGGTGTTGGACCCAGACTTGTTTGTTGTCTTGGCCTTCAATTTTTCGTTCGAAGCCCTTCCAGGAATCAACCTTCGGACGTCGGGCTGCATCCACCACGTACGTGGCGTTATCGTAAAGAGGAGCCCAGAGCAGCCCAGCATCGCGATGAGTTGAGCCATCACGCACAGCACATCGTCATGCTTGTCTGGCACTTGATGCATCCTCGTCATTTCGTCTGGCAGTTCTTCAAAATCTTCCCACCAAATCCCCCCCGTAAGTCTTTTTCAAAAACATAATTTTTCAAACGAAATTGTTTTGATTTTCTTGATGCCATAAAAAATGGGAATTTATTGCTTGCCGGTCTGAGATTACAGTACTGACATGGCTTAGAAGCCAGCGAGGAGGAGTTCATATTGCCGGCTGAACTTAGGAAAAAATTCCACAGCATGAGCAAACTGAATGGCGCCTATTTATAATTTATTTATTTGTTCTACAATTTTATGCCATCTGGGTTCAGATCTAAAATTAAAATATATCCGAAGGGCCATTGCAATTATTTACACAATTGTCGTGGCTTAGTACTATAAATGATGGGGATAGAGTTGCTGAAACACACAGTTTTCGTTAACTACGTTCAGGGGCATCAACATGAAGCTCACCGTGGTCTGTGTACTTGGTAAGTTGCCAACAAATTTTAACTGAAAAGTCTCCTAAAGGATTTTTTCCTTAGTGGCCTTTGTTGTCCTGCAATATGTGGAAACTGGAGATGCTTGCCTGGAAATTATTGAAAAAGCCCTAGGAATTGAGCCTTGTCATCAAGGTGGCAAGAGGGAGCACCGCAATCCTAAACGACCTCACAGGGAACCGAACAGGCCCAATAGGCAACCCAACAGGCGACCCAACAGGCAACCCAACAGGCAACCCAACAGGCAACCCAATAGAAAAACCAACAGGCGACCCAATAGACAACCCGACAGGCAACCATGTGGTTTAAAACCAGAACCAAGGCCCAATAAAGGTGGAAGGCCACTTGGTCCTGGACCTGTCATAACAAGGCCCCATAAAGGAGAAAAACCAGGTTGCCCGGGATCTGAAAGACCAAGACCTAACAGGCCCAACCGCCCAAGACCAGGATTCCACCATAAGCCGAGGCCCGGAAAGCCTGAACCATCTTGTCCAGGAAAATCGCATCCTTCTTGCCCAAATAACCCTCCCACAAAGTCGCCACCTTGCTCAGAAAATACTACACCATGTTCAGAGATCCCTCCTCCATGCTCAGAGAACACAACTCCATGTCCAGAGATCCCCCCTCCATGCTCAGAAAATACAACTCCATGTTCAGAGATCCCCCCTCCATGCTCAGAAAATACTACACCATGTCCAGAGATCCCTCCTCCATGCTCAGAGAACACAACTCCATGTCCAGAGATCCCACCTCCATGTTCAGAGAACACAACCCCTTGTGGAGAAAACCCTCCTCCACCTTGTGAGGAAAACCCTTCTCCCCCTTGTGAGGATAACCAACCACCCCCGTGTGAAGAAAACCCTCCTCCATTTTGCGAGGAAACCCTTACTCCCCCTTGTGAGGAAAATCCACCTCCTAATTGCAATGACTGGTTAGCAAATGAATATTAAAAAAAATTGTTTTAGTAGTTATAATATACATATAACTTCAAAACAAAGTATCAGCAATATCAAACCACCAAAAATTCTTTGAAGCTTATACATTGTTGACTCCTTAATAAAATTGTTATGCACTGAAATTGTTTGAATTTTTTAAGCTATTTTCAAAGAGATATCGGTTTGAGTTTAATATTTAATGATATTATTTTTAATATAATCTTTATAAACTCGTGTGGGAGTCTGTAGTGAAGTGCTTTTTAAATACTTGTAGCGGTTTAAGCTTTTACCCTTACCATGTGGACATGCGGCCTGGAAACCCAAACTCCCACCCGATAACCACTTCAGTTCACGTCATGAACATGATTATGTACTTTATGAATGTGCAGAGAGGCGATTCAAAGGCCTCAACCACACCGAAGTACTGATACTCTATCTATCCAATGTGGTTTATCAAAAGGAAAGAGCTAAATGAATATTAAAACTAACAAACCTAACTTCTTTTCAAAAACTGTAGTAGGATTAGGTCAAAGTCTTTAAGCAAGGGTGTTTATGAGCAGTATCGGTTATTACTTACTCAAAGCCTAGGTTACAATCTTATATTAATATTCTATATTGTTATACTCTTTCATAAATAGTCTCCAATCCCCTTTCAAAATGTAAGAGCATAGATGGTGTTGATTTTTTCACTCTGACCGTGCCAACTGCTTATATAATATTTGAAAATTGAAAATCTTTTTGGCGCTGCACTTGAAAAATGCTTAGACCAGGCAATGATGATGAACTTTGTAAAACTCTTGACCACATTTGCCGCACCCGCTCCCACCGATGCCCTCTTCCTCCCCGCATCTTTTGAAGCGACGTCGTCTTTCCTTTCCTCTTTCTGGCCATGTCTGACCAGCTGACGTCCAGAGAGCGGTTTGGGCCCAGATACCCGGTATGGGGAATGCAATGCACTTGACTTTAGCGCCACTTGTAAGTGTAAATTTTATTTGAGCCAGCAAAGTACGTACACATGTAGGCACTCACATATAACCATGCCCTTTGTCAAGTGCTCCTCCAAGTGCTTGGATTTGGACTTGGTCTTGGACTTGGCAATGCAAGTGGTCCGGCACTGGAGGAGAGTGGGTCTCGGTTTCGATGTCGATGTCGATGTCGGTCTTTGGAACGGAGTTTGGCGTCGTGTCGCTGACAGCTAAGTGGTGATAATCGCTTTTGAATTGAATTTCAGCAAGAATATTTACACGCAGACAAAGTTGAAATTCAAAAATGCAACAGGGACTGAGATGGCTGGGCTTGGACCCTGTCCATAGTGCGGACACAAAAAGAGGCGTCAGTTGTTGGCTTTGTTCCGTCTCTGTCTCACTCTTTAGCCGTCTCACTTCCTCTTAGCCGGACCCTTCCCCACCAAAATGTCTGTAGCTTTGGTTTTTGTGTTTTGGCTGCGGCTTTATTCCAAATGCTGAAGTGTAGGGGGCATGGAAAGGGAGCAGGTCCTGTGGTTTGTTTGGCTGGTTACTGTGGCTTCTAATTTGCGAACTGGATTGTATGGCTTAAAGGAACGAATGGACGACAACTCAGCTGGACTTGTGAGTCATTAAATCAAGGCTTAAAGTCTTAAGAACCGCAACTGGAATAGTTTCTGCCACAAACTTTGTGGGCGTTAAATAAGTTAACTTAGTCCAGTTACTTAAGGGCTATTTAATAAATTAAATGGCAATGAAGGCTAAAGAATTCGGGTCATTTTTTTCCACCCACTACAGGTGCACTTATTCAAAACATTTTTTATGATATAAGCGATATATATCACAAGTATTGATTATTCCAGCGTTCACAGCCGAAATGCAAACCATTGCTCTGATTTTAGGTAAGAATTATTTCATCAAGGACTCCCCAACTAATCCCCGAATATTTCAGTAATTACTTATATCTGTCTGACTGCTGAGGCTCAGGAGCACCAGGATATATGCCAAAGGATAGATGCTAGATGCCTAGGCCGTCAGACAAGAATCGGAAAATCCAATGATGTCACCAAAGTCTTCAACCAAAAGTGTCACCGTCGCGTCCCGAATTGGCAAGATGTCTCCAGATGTGAACTGTCCAGAGCCTCTTGCCAATGTTTGTATTATTTATTCAACTTCATCCATTTTACTTCATTTTGATTAATTTCCAGTAACTCTCGTGGGCTGTGAGGGATTGTCCTGTGAGAATGTTAAGAGAGCCCTCGGACCTTTACACGCCAGAATTGGTTGCGCTTGCACCACGCACAGAACCACTCCAAGACCTCGCACCACTCGAAGGCCCAGAACTACTCGCAGAACAACTTCTAGACCTCGTACCACCCGTAGGACCACTTCTAGGCCCCGGACTACCCAAAGACCTCGAACTACTAGAAGGACTCCAGCACCCCGACCACCACCTACAACGACCCATCAGCCGCCGAGGACAACGCGAGCTCCATTAACCAGGCCGCCGGCTCCATGGCCTCCAGGACACAAAAATCCCTTTGGAAAATAAATTTTACAAAATTACAAATAATGACTAAAGATATCAATAATTTATAAATGTTTCAAATAAAAAAGAAAACACCTCGATGTACTTAAATGTATTTCTTTAGATTGATTTAATTAAGTTCGAGTGCGTCGCATTCCAGCCAACGCAGCCACATCACTACAATTCATTCGTCGGTCTCTACCTGTAGTTAAAATAATACATTTAATACAAATAAATAATGTAAAATATATTATTTCTTTTTAAATAACTTACCTAGGCAGTTTAATTTGAAAAATTCACAACGATGGACGTCCCTCCAGACCCAGGTTCTTTGGGTTTTTGACTTACACTCTTTATTCAAGAAGGCCATTTGACGATCATCGTTATTGTTTAAAGTCCCAAGGCACACTTCGCATTTTCTTTCCAGTCCCTCACAATATTCCCTCTGTCCTGAAACAATAATCACACAAAAAACTAAAATAAAAATTAATATTTTTCAGTGAGGTACTCGTATAAGTTTTGAAAAAACTTACCTACGAGAATCGATAACTGCGAATTCATTCTGACGGCTTTTTCAAAAGTTGTACTCTATTTAGGATATTTAAGTAACTTTATATAATTTGCACGTACAAGGTGAGTAAAACAGATGTTTTTCTTTAGCAATGAACCTATTAAAAAAAATAATTTCTAGGACATTATAAAAGCTCGTAACTAGTAATCATAAGGCTTGCAACTAGATTAATTACTCAACGTGTTGACTTTGCAGCTTAAACAGGCTAAAATGCGAAAAATTCTTTTGATCTTGGGTATTATTTTTTGGATTTTCATTTCCTTTTAAATTTTGCTTCTAAACCATAACTTTTTTAGTGTTGAGTTGCCTAGGAGTCGCTGTTCTGTCCCAAGAACGCCAAGCCATGTGTCGAAGGATGGCTTCAAGGTGCCAGAGCCGCCAGACAAGGAATGGAAGATCCAACGATGTCAGCAGGCTCTTCAACCAACAATGTCGCAGACGCATCAGAAACTGGCAAGACATCTCTAGATGTGAACTGGGTCGAGCCACTTGCCAGTGTAAGACTTGGCAGTACTACTACAAAATTAATTTTGGGTAAACATCATTTTACCTAACTTTTCAGTGACCCTCATGAGTTGCTATGCCTTATCCTGTGAGCGAGTAAGAAGGGTCCTGGAACCGCCACGCCCGACCACACCCTGTCCATGCACCACACGCCGTCCGCCACGGCCGCCACCACCGCCCAGAGCAACACCTCGACCACGAACCACTCCCAGACCTCCTGCTCCACCAACCACTCGAAGTCCTCCTCCTCCACGACCTCCTCCCACGACCACAACTCGACGGCCACCAAGCCCCACTCGAGCTCCCGTGACTCCCAGGCCCAGACCACCTGGCCCAGGGCACAAGAAGCCCTTTAGGAAGCGGCCTTAATGAAGTAAATTTGTATTCAAAATAAAGTTAAACAAATGATTTACTCAATGGTCCCATAAAGATTTTATTTAGAATCAAACTTGAGAGTTTTAGATCTTAACTTCTTACGGGAGGCATTCCTCCTAGTTCGGCGAGATCACTACAATTCAATCGACGTTCCCAACCTACAAAGTAAATTAAGTTTTCAATAAAATATTAAAAAATAAAACTTAAATGCAAAAACATACCTAAACAGCTAAGCTTTGATAGCTCGCATCGATCTATATCCCTCCAACGCCAACGGTTTTGTGTCCTTTGACGACATTCCTTATTGAAATTGGGAATCGAACGAGCCCCTTCATCCACACAGGACCGACACTTTCTTTCCATTTCATTGCAATCCCGCCGAACCTGGTCCTGTCCCTCGATCAGGCTGATAAAAAGAACTAATCGTAAAATTAAAACTCTGAAACTAAAATTAATTTTAATCAGCTTACCAGCGCATAGGACCAAGACTATTCTCACATGCATTCTGTTCGGCCTTGATAGGAACTTATCTGTTGAATAAACTACCAAAAACTGCACTCCCTTTTAGTTTTTATATAAAGACCAAAAAATAAAAATTAAAATAAGCCATGGCACTTGTTAAAATACAACCACAAAGCCTATTCAAAAGCTATAAACGTGGAAATAACAAAAATTGGGTCACCTTTTCATAGAATTCCATTCATTTTGCTTGACTTCCTGAACGACTTGTATTAAAAAACCATTTACTTTGTCTTAAGTACTTCCAGAACCTCATAAAAGCCGAAGTCTATACTAGGGTTTAGCACAGAACTTGAGCAAATTTTCGCAGCAATGTCGAAAGTAGCTCTACTTTTGGGTAAGGATTTTTAAGAACCTAATACTATTGAAGAACCTTTAATATCTACAAATCCTTTTCAGTCTTAGCCCTCGGCTTAATAGCTGTTCAAGCCCAGGATCCAACCCAAGCTCAAGCAGCTTGTCGCAGGATTTCGAATAGATGCACAAATGCCCATCAAAACCAACAAAACGATGTCTCCGGCGCTTTTAATCGAGCCTGCAGATTGGTGGAACGAAACTGGCGATCTGTCAGTCGTTGCGAACTGACCAGGGCTACATGCGTTTGTAAGTATTAAGGATCTAAGGATATTAAGGGATATATTTTTTTTATTTATAATTTTATTTTTTTTTTATAGTGACCTGGGAGAGTTGCCAAACCATCTCTTGTGCCAATGTGCGACGAGTTCTTGGCGGAGGAGGATCAAATCCAAGTCCTCGAACAACAACTCGTCGAACTCCCACACCAAGAACCACAACTCGCCGGAATCCCACGCCTAGAACAACTCGTAGGGGTCCCACGCCTAGAACAACTCGTAGGGGTCCCACGCCTAGAACAACTCGTCGAGGTCCCACACCGAGAACAACTCGTCGAAACCCCTCACCAAGAACCACACGAACTCCCGACCCAGCAGGTCGACGAACTACCACAACTAGGACCACAACTCGTCGATCTCCGAATCCTCCCAGGCCACCGAGGCCTCCAAGGCCTCCAAGGCCCCCTAGGGGTGGTGCTGCCGTACCGACTCCCGATCCAGATGAGTAATCCAGGAATAATTGAGTTTTAACATTTCGACTTCAACCCGTTAATATCATTATTAAATATTTCAATGCTCTCTAAACTATTTTGTTTTATTGAGGACTTGAGCACGGTTTAAGACAATTAAGTCTTACAATTTATTACTTAAAAGCACTTTCTTACTTCTCCAATTTACTAACTAAGGTTTCATTCTTTTTTTGAAGTATTTCTTGAAAAGCTTCAGTTGTGTTTTCAGCCGAAGTGCTACTACTTGGAACAGTAACTTCCTCGGCCTCCGATTTCTTGACGGAATGTTGTGTACTTTCGGTGGTAATATTTTCCTTAGTAACTTTCTCTGGAATTTTCGTTGTAGTTATAGGCAATACACTATTTGGATCCTTTTCCAATTCTTTGACGGGGCTTTGGGTTTTTACACTGGGAATAATGCTTTCGTTTTTTAACACATCGTGTGGATTAATCCTTTTGAATCTCTTAGCACCAAATCGAAAAGTTTCACTTTGTACAATAGAGTAATGGAGAATTCCAGCTAAACAGATTCCCAAAGTAATACCAACAAACAGACAGAGACAAGATTTTTTACTGGATCTTCCTATAAGTGTTAAATATTAAACAACAAACAATGCAATACAATTGAATTATTTTCAAACCTTACCTTCATTTATTAAGGAACGGCTTAGACTGTTGCTAGCAAACTTGTTAATGTACTTCGACGAACTCATTGCGATCGTTGTTGGCCAAGACTTTTATTCGATTAAATGATGTTCGAGAAGAGCTATCCGGTTTTCTTGCTACTTGCGACTCTTCCAAACAATTGTACAAACAATGTTTTAGCGAAAGCCCAGATGGAATAATTCAAAAGGCCGTTTCGAACATGAAAAGTACACAAAAATATAAAATATTCCCCTCATTTTTTGCTAAAGCTTTGGGAATTTAGATAAAAGTTTCAAAAAAAGACACAACCTTTTAGAGAGCATTGAAGTGTTTATTGTTTTAAAGGCAAAGTTATTTGGTATTACATTTCCATCAAACGCCAAAGAACTTCTTTTATTCGCGAGGATCAGGACCAAGGGCGTTTCTGACATTCTCACAGGATAGGGACCTGCAGCGCTCCAGAGTCACTAAATAAAATTTTTATAATTTTTATGAGAGATACGGGAAAGGGCAAAATATTTCAGAATTCTTACATCGACAAGTGGCGCGTGTCAGTTCGCATCGGGAGATGTTACGCCAGTTGCGATTTTGACGGCGACACCATTCATTGAAGATATTTGAGATGTCGTTATTCGGACCATGATTTCCAGCAGACCGTTGGCATCTTTCATTAACCCTCCGACAAACCTCGCGAGCATTTTCCTGGGCCATTGCAGCCGCGAAAAGGCAAAGGATAGCTGGAATTAAAGTGGATTTTTACAATAAATCCAATATAGAAAAGTCTTCGAAAACTTACCAAAAATCAGAGTTATTTTCGACATCTTGGCTTTGCTTCTAAAAACTCACTAAAAAACTGTGCTGGCCAGAAGCAACTACCTGGGCTTTTATAAAGTCCCCAGAACATTGGGGAAACAACTGCAATTTTTTCTAGAAAACGTGGCTTGTTTATTTCCAGGAAGGAGATAAAGAAATCCATTCAATTTCTTCAAAAACCGACCTATTTTTGCAAGTATTTCCTTAAATAAACTTCCCCCTTGCCAAAATTGTTTTGTTTTGATTGAACTTATTGTCTCGAAACATCTGCCTGGCTTCACCACGTGGTTCCTTGGGTGTTTATATAAAGTAGGGTGGGAAATGGTTGATCAGCAGTTACAAAGCTGACAACTTTCCAGCAAGACCCAAAGAAGCACTCAGAATGCATATCAAAGTAGTCTTGGCCATATTTGCTGGTAAGTTTTGATCAGGATAACATCCGGAACTCCTCCTAATTCCCATCCATTCCGTTAGTCCTTTTTCTGAGCCTGGTTTCTGGCCAAGATCGGATTCAAAGGGACTGCAATGAGCTGGAAAGGAAGTGCAGGGAGTGCGTGGGTACACTGAACAACAGGGAGGATCGCAACTTGCCCACCTTGAACAGGGAGTGCCAGCAGAAAACCATCAGGACCTGGCATTGGAGGGATATCGGCCGATGTGAGCTCACAAAAATTGATTGTCTTGGTAAGTTTTGCTTCTAAAAGTTTTTAAACAACCTCCAATACCCTTAACCGGATATTATTCTCTATTTAGGATGGGAGAGTCGTTTGGACTGCGGCGATATTGCTCGGCTGGCTGGTATGCGTAGGAGGAACTAAATTTTAATCTTGAAAAATTTAGCATTTGCAATTATTGATAAATAAAATCCAAAGAGAGCATTGAAATATGACATATTTTATTTAATTGGAATTCGATTTAAATTAAATCTCTTCATGGTATTTATTCATGGCATAACGCACGATGCGATCTTCAATTTCATAATCGAAGTCTTGATCCATATGGTAATCTTGATCCATATCGAGGTAGTGGTGATCGTGAACCGAAATATCCTTCTCTGTAGTCAGTAGTCCACGGCTTAAAATAGTCAGCATTCTTGAAATTTTCCTTTCATAAATATCACTATCGTTATTAATTTCCTGATGATATGGTTCTCCTTCAGTTGTTAACCCTTCGTTTAAAGGATGTGGGTGTAAATCATCTTCAATATGATCATGGTTCTCATAGTCATTATTGTAATGATTGCTATAATCTATATCACTACGCGGTATATGATCTGGATAGTCTTCTTGATAATCCATATTATCCATTTCGTCTGGGTTTCCTAGTACAAGGTCTATAAAATGGAAATGTTAGGATTTATTTATTTGTTTATTTCATTGGAAAAACATACCCCATATTAATAAAATTACAAGAAGTTTAGTATTCATTTTCTGAGGCATCGTCCTCTTAAATATATATCCTCTTGCTTTAAGGAAAATTATAATACTGCTGTATGGAGTTTAAAATTCAGTTCACATTTCAAGGCAGGTATTATTTTATTTAAACAGCAGTCAACCCATATTATATATAATATATATATTTTAAAAATATGTAGCTTGCAAAAAATCGAAGCTACAAATACTCTGTAGGAAGACTTGAAATTAATTATTTCATTTAAATATTCGAATTGTGAATAAAATCAAATTCTTAGTTTTAAATTAAAATCAGTTGAAAGGTATTTTAATTTTAGTATTAATTAATTAAAAGCTCCTAATCGCTCTTCAGTCAAGAGCTTTAATTAAGAGAGAAATCCACCACAAGCCCCAGCACAAGATCGGCTGAGAACAGAGATCGGCTGGCTATGATTCTCGCTGGTAAACAAAACTCGGTCAAAATCCGCGAGAGAAAAGCGCCGAAACAGGCCCATCTGGCTTGGAGAAAAAAAAAAACCAAAAACCGAAAAGCAGGCTGGCAGGCAGGCGTTAATAAGCGTAGAACATTGTTTAAACAAGAGACCAGATTCCGACACTGTCTCTCGATCTATCTGCTTAAGTCCACAATGTGATAACAACGATTACGGGCATAAAGGCAAATTTCTCAAACAGCGCCTGGTTTAGTTCATGTCCATGTCAACTGCAGTCTTTACTTTCGCACACAAATAGAACCCGAAGCCGAAACAAAATATAAACGCGGCAGGAATTAAATAAATAATATATATGGCGTCGCTGTAGAACAGGCCAAAAATATTGTTCAGTTGTCTAGTGAGTTACCAAAGAAACAGTCGCGTTTTAGCCAAACACAGTGCTCTGAATATTGATCTAGATTAGAGATTGTTTAAGTGACAGATTAAGTGGTTGACTGATTTAGTGACCTAGTGACGGAGTGTGCAATCATGTCCAATTACACGGTGGTGCGTCTGACCAAAGTGCAACCTTATATGCATACGGTGGGCAGCAGCTATGCGGCTCTGGCCAATGTCGACGGCTTTTATGGCCCGACCTTGGAGGCCGGCCTGCTGGATTTTCATGGCAACAACAGCCATGCCACACACGCCAATCTCACGGGCGACAGTGTCCTGGTATTGATCGGCGAGGACACCTACAGCTACCGCTCCACCTCCACCATTGTCCTGATGGTCACCGCCTGGATCCTGCTGATCCTGGGCTTCGTTTTCTGCTGCTGTGCGGAGTGCTGTGGCGTGAGTGTCTGGCGTGGCAAGAAGCGTGCCAGCGTCAATGACGTCAACCGGGCGGAGGAGGGTGCGGCAGGTGATGGTGGTGGTGGTGGTGGGCGGGGCACTGCAGCAGAGACCAATGCAGGTGAGTGTTGCAAGTTTCTGGTTCGAATTGAAGCAAAGCTTTTCTTTGGCGCAAGTTCCTTGCATACTTCCAGGCTGCCATGAGAAATTGATTGGCCCCCGATGGGGCAGGTCGGGGCGATGCATGGGAGGCAGGTAATCCGTTTTCCCAGTAACCGAACTTATATTTCATGTTACCAATAAATGCCAACAATAAATAAGCTGTAACCAAAGGTTAGACTAAGATTTGGTGAATTTTAAATACTCTTTAGATCGGTTTTTTTAGGGATTTACTTAAAAATTTGATCATTTCTATATCTGAATAATTTTAATTTTTTTTCTACAATTAGGGATAATTTAAAAATAAAAAATATTTATGAAGCCCTCAATTTTTCATTAATATTTTTGATATACTCTAAGAACTGAAAGGATAACCTTAGCCAAGCCCAATTAAATAAATGAAAAACCCTGTAACAGTTTTGGGAGCTCTACCCCATTCAATATCCTTTCTTTCCGCACCTCTCCCTAATCGGCTCACTTTTCCAGTGACCCTGTAAACAAGCTACAGGGTATAAAATACATTTTGAATGGCCTGTCAATGCGCTTAGCATTGCTGAACTACTTTTCAAACAACACGAAGGGGCTTCCTTGCTTCTGCAAGTCTCTGCGTTTTGGGAGCTCGGAGCTGGGAGTCGGGGAGTTCCTTGGCAGAACTGCCTGCCTCATCGATATCATGAAATATTTAGCTACATATTTCTCGAATTTCGTTGCGCTTCGTTTTTGGCAAATTTGGCATGCGTTTTGGCTGAAAATTGGCTTTTGGCCAAGTAAACGAATGGCAGATAGGAATGTATACTGCTTTATACCAGAATCAAACCATGCTCATAGTCACTGAGGGAAAAATATTACTCTTAATGTATTTAATAAGTGACTTTCTTCATTTGTTGAGCAAACAATTTTAGGATATGATTTAATAACATAATTATTTTTGTAGTAGCCTGAAGGGTTTATTGATGAATTAAACAATGAACCATTAATTGTTCATTAATATTCTGTATAAGTTAATTAAATTGTCAATATTAAATGATAGATCAAATGATTGACTTTTTCATTTAATGGCTTACTTAATGGCCAACGAATATTGTCTTTCCTGCCATAAACATTATTATTTTAGCAATAAACGTGTATTTTCAACTAATATTTTTCCCAGTGCATTCAGAACCATTTTGTTGGATAATTTGGATGTTCTCGCCGCTCAATGCAGCTTCTGTGTATCGTATCGTAGGCAATTAGCATTGTCTCGAAGATATTGCGTTTCATTAGAGAGATATGTGTGTTGTGTTTTCCCAGTGTGTGTTTGGGAGGGTGTGTCTAAACTAAAATGCACTATAGTCAATGGGTCATTCCGATAACAGCAAAATTTGTTGCAAATTTGTGTGGCATTTAAGCCGAAACTAGGATTTCGGTATTGTGTTGGCTGACGTCGGCTTAAGTTGCAGCCTTTTTGGTTTTCGGTTTTGCATTTTGCCATTTGAACTTAGCAACCAAAACTATGTTTTTGGCCAATTGGCCAAATGATGGGTTGAAACTGCCAAAGTGCTTGCATAAAGAACATTATAGGAGGGGGAATATCAGAAAACATGGAAAGTCTTTAAATGATAATGTTAGGAAAAGCCGGCCTTTTGTTTCTGAAGGTGTTAGGAAGAGTTGAAAGTTATTAGAATTTTATGGGAAATTTAAGAAGACTTGTTTAATACAACCTTTTTCAACTTAACATAGCCAGTTTGATTATCTTGGCATGTTGAACAAGTCTTCCTGGTATCCTTTCATCTACCTCGCGTTGCGGTACTTTCAATTTATTCAGTTGAGCGCATTTGGCCCATTTTGCTAACGGCACGAGAAGCGTCTTAGTGTGTCAATGCAATAAATTCTTCCACTTTCGTTTCGAACTATGGCCACAAAACGTGCCCGGCCTCGTAGAATCGCTCGAAGTCCCCTCGAAGACCCCTCGAAGGCCTCGAAGACTCCAATAGCAGGTCCTTGTTAATGCCCCTGTTTCTCCTTTATTTCTCTCGTTTTTGTTAGTTGCCCCACACGAGAAACTTAAAGTTGAGAGCCATATACATACATATATAAAATGGCGCAAAGTCACAAATGCTTTATGAAACTTTTTGTTTTTATATATTTTATTTGGCTTGGCGCTCATTTCGCTGCACAAGTTTTAATAAAAAACTTGTGCCGGCGCTTCGTTTTCTTCTTCTCGCTTCGAGCCAACTGCAGTCGATGCTTTTAGCCGACTTTGCTGTTCAGGAATTCATAACCGCATTTCTCTGGCTGGGCTTTGCGAGATGGTTCTGGGGGGTATGTATCGGGAAATAGCGGGAAACCAAGAGGCGCAGTTGTACATACCAATTGCTTATGTATCGACAATATGGGACTGTGGGGGGAGGTGGAGTATGGCCTGTGGTGGCACCCCCCTTTATCAGAGAAGCACCCATCTACCCACTCCATTTCTCCCCAACCATCGAGGTCCCAGCTGATGCGGCCAAAGCCCCGGCGTATAATAAGTTTTTGTCTTCAACGAAGCAGGAATGCCTGCCAAATTCTGCTCCTTAACTTGAATCTATAATTCAGTTTTTCCAGCTATTTCATTTTGCCGTCAATGCGTAAAACAATTTAAATTTTTAAAGGAATATTTTTCAACAGCACACAAGGAAAGGAAATAAATCAAATAGTAGCCTAAAATAAGTATTAGACTAAAATTATGAAGAAAGACACTAATGTTAAAGCTATCCACTTTATTTGGAAATATATTAGAATTTTAAGAGCCTTTTTTTTATAAATATATGAAAACGTAACACCTAATGAAAAACCATAAATAATTCTCTTCTGTGTTGAAAAAGAATACGGAAATATATTTCCTTATTCGTGCACGTAAAACCCTGTATATATCCCTGTAAGTCTCTATACTTTATACGCTGTTTATGCGCTTCATTTGCTGGGATCTAAACAACACCCATCCTCCCAAGAACCGCCCACTGT